TTTTTTTTTTAAACTATTGTGATCATATGGTTTTGGTTTCATTCTGTTAATATAGCACATCACATTTATTGACTTGCATAGGTTGAATCAGCCTTGGCCCCAGGAACAAAGTAGAGTGCCTCTTTGCAGGCATACCCCCAAGTTCAAACCCCAATCCCACTAAAAAAGGAAAAAAAAAAGTAACAGGAAGTTAAAGGCAATGGCTTAAACAAAGAAATTATGACAAGAGTTCCATATAAATCTTTTCACTTTCTCCCCTCATTTCCACTCTCACTGATCTAGGTGGCTCAGTTTGGAATAAGGTCCCCCACAAAAGACTCACATGTTGAAAGCCTGGCCTTCAGCTGGTGCTGCAGAAAGCTGACTGGAGGTAGATGGACTAATTCATTAATGGATTCATAATTTGATGGCATCACAGCAAAGTGATGGAAAGCAGGAGATGGGGCTTGGCTAGAAGAGGTAGGTCACTAGGCATGTGACTGTGAAGGAATGCCTCATCCCAGGCCTTTCCTGCCTCTCTCTGCCTCTGAGGTGCCATGAGGTAGCTGCTCAGCTCATGTGCTGCTTCCACCATTATGTTCAGCTTGCCCACAGCAAGCTGACCATGAACTGAAACCTCTGAAACTGCAAGCCAAAATAAATCTTTCCTCCTTTCAAGTGGTTCTCTCAGGTATTTGTCACAGCAATGAAAAGCCTGACGAACCCATCAGGCCATCGTTTTTTCAGGATAGCCTAATCCTCATCCTTTCTGCAGATATAAAGCCACCCTCCCCTCCACTCCAGTTTTCTTTCACTTCCCTGTAGAAGTGGGAATCAACAAACATCCTTTCTGCTTACTGAAGAATCCAAAGGTTCTTTATAATATAGCTCGCTCTAAATACTTCACCAACCAGGTAAGAAACCCTCTCATCTGAAAACCATACCTTATGTGGGGATCAGGGTATATCCCGCATTGTATGAAATTAGCTGGTCAGTCTTCTCCTATACTACAGTGTGCACATGGCAGTTATTATTCATTCACTCACTAAGCATCTCTTAAGCAGTTGAAGTGTGCCAGTCACCAGAATAAAGGGAGAATAGTTAACTAAACTTTTTTTTTTTAGTATTACTGGGGTTTGAACTCAGGGCCTCATGCTTTCTATGCAAGTACTCTACCACTTGAGCCACACCACCAGCCCTAGAGGCAGAATAGTACTCAAATACATTACAGAAAATAAAAGGAAAGATAACGGATTATGACTGTTTCGGTTCCTCCTCCTCTTTTTATTGCCAGGTATGATGGCTCACACCTGTAATCCCAGCCCTAAGGCTAAGGCTAAGGCAAGAGGATCAGAAATTTGAGGCCAGTCTGGGCTGTATCATTAGACTCTGTCTCCAAAAAAAAAAAAAGAAGAAAAAAAAAGTTTTGTTGTATTAGCCCCTGGACTCCATAATAATGCAGAATCTCAATAATTAGTAAATAACAACAAATAAAAGAATCTTAAGCAATTAACTTAAACTACATGATAAAGAATGGGGAAAACAGCTAGACTTGGAGTAAGTCTGAGGAACATTAGAGAGGAATAAGGCAATTTTAGAATTTTACCTACGTATTTTGAATGAAATCTTCTTGTTATTATGGGAAGGAGCTAGTTTAGAAAATGATTTAAACAGCTTTTCAATGAACAAAAGCAGGGTTGAGGAGGTTAAACTGCAGGTATAAAGTACCTATTATCTGCTCACTTTCGAAAAATGAATCCTACATAACATTAAAGGAAATCATGCTTTTCAGGAAGAGAACAAAAACATACCTCAACAAAGAAGACAAGATTTTCTAGAAGAGTCGGATGTGTTTTCAAGTTACCATCTTTAACTTCTAAGAGATCGCCTTTACATTTACTGAAGACATCTGAAGAAAGAAAAATATTTCATGGCATTACCCACTTATGTTTCAATACTACTTTTAGGAACACAATGTGTAATCTGAGAATAAGCAAATATAAAAACTAAAATCCAGGAAGCTTGTTTTGTTTTTTCATTTCTTCAGTGAATCAGAGGATAGTCTAAGCTTATTAAAAAGCCATGTTGCATGTTGGGCTGGGCAGTAGCTCAGTGGGAGAATGCTTATCTGGGTCCCAAGAGTCCCTGGATCCCATTTCCAGTGCAGAGAAAGGGGGAGTTGAGCATGGTGGGACACATCTGTAATCCCACCACTTGGGAGGCTAAGACAGGAGGACTGTAAATTCAAGGCCAGCCTGAACTACACAGGGAACCAGACTTTTTTTTCCCCTGGGAGAGGGGGGCAGTACTGGGGCTTGAACTCAGAGCTTCGTACTTGCTGGCAGGCAATCTACCACTTGAGTCTCTCTGCCAATCCTAAAACCTTGTCTTCCAAAAGCAAAACAAAAGGCCAAGTGGACTATTACTCTATAGTCTTCAAAATACAAAAGCATAAAAAGCATGACTCAGATGGACCTGTGCCACTGTGGACTGAAAGCCCAAGGCGGCATGATAGAAGTGCACCTTCAAAATACCACCACCACCACATCTCATTCCCATGTTCCTGATCACCGTATCAGCATTGAGCTCCCAGGCATTTTTCATCTGAGCAATAAAGGTAAAGACAATTGGCTCCCTGAAAACAAAGACCCTTATAGGTGTAAAATCCATAGCTGCAACTTTTGTCAAAACAATGCCATTCCTAGAAATTTAATTTCCAAGGTAATCATCAAATAAATAACCCAAACACTGTGTCCCCACAGATGAATTTCAGCATTATTATAAATACAAGAAACAACTCAAGTACATTATGTATTCTGATATAGTATATAACTAAATTGGGTAACTGACACAATACTATACAATATTACACATTCTTACCTTAAAAATGACTGAGAGATATTATATAGACATACAAACGTATCCAACAACAACAAAAAGTCAGAAAAGCTTGTGTTATACCTTTTCATGTTAAAAAATCACTACAATATATTTTTACACAGGCATGCATGACTGATTAGGTGGCATCTACAAGTTTTAACTCCAAGTGTTAGGAATCTGGGGAACAGGCCTGGGAGAGGAGGAAAAAGCAGACTCACTTGTACACCAGTTTATCATAAGTATCCTCTATGTTTTTAATTACAACACCGGGCACCGGTGGCTCACACCTATAATCCTGGTTACTTGGGAGGCAGAGATCAGGAAGACCGAAGTTCGAAGCCAGCCTGGGCAAATAGTTCAAGAGACCCTATCTCAAAAATGCCCAACATAAGGAAGGGCTGGCAAAGTGGCTCAAATAGTAGAGTGTCTGCCTAGCAAATGTGAGGCCCTGAGTTCAAACCCCAGTGCCATAAAGAGGAAAAAAAAAAACCCAAAAAAACCCTTAAGAGGCGAAGATGGGAAGGATTGCAGTTCTAGGCCAGCCCAGGCAAAAAGTTAGTGAGACCCCATCTCAACACAGAACCCAGGCATGGTGATATGGTGATATATTCCTGTTTTCCCAGCTATGAGGGAGGCATAGATAGGAGAATTGTGGTCTGAGACTAGCCCCATGCAAAAACATGAGATCTTATCCAGAAAACTAAAGCAAAAATGGGCTGGAGACAAGGCTCAAATTGGTAGAGCATCTGCCTAGCAAGTGTGAGGTCCTGAGTTCAAACTCCAGTACCATCCAAAAGAAGCTACTGCCAGATAACCAGATATAATTCAGAAATTCATCGTAAGACTACTTACCTTTTAATTGTTCTAGTAAAGATTTAAGACTACTCTCTATTCGCTCCTGTAGTTCCACTGTATCCTCTAAAATTGCAAAAAAAAAA